ATTATTCTAGTGAGCTTAATTCTTATAAACACGTACCTTTGAGAGGTTTATTTGTTTACTTCTTTTTATCCTTTTGTAAAGGGGAAATGTTCTAGCTAATCCCGTGAAAAGCTAGGGAAATGTTCTAGTTTAGCCCGTGAAAAATTAGGGAGTTGTAAAGGTTATCTCTTTGTCCTTGAAAGAAAGACAAATTAGTGAATTTGTGGAAAATCCTTAATGTAGATAGCTAAGGTAGTGGATGTAGACTTCGGTTGAGAAAGTCGAACCACTCTAAATCGCTGTGCAAATCTTTTCAATTTTCTGTCAAAGCTTCCACCAAAATTTTAATTGCCAATTCACCCCCTCTTGGCCGATTCATCCGATCGATTAACTCAACACATCCTAACTTTGACTTATTAGTGGCATGTACATTATATCTATTTGGTTGCTTTATCAGATTTATTTTAAAAGGGTTTGTAATAGTAATTAGGGTTATTTTCTTTAGTTTTGTCTAATTTTAGTATTAATCGTATTTATGAGTGAATAGTATAAATGTTATATTTTAAATGGTTTAAAATCATACAGTATTAGGCAGTTGTATTTGGATATGAAACAACATTGAACTGTCTAATTACTGATTGAAATCAAATTAGTTTTCAATGATCAAATAATATTTTATAAATTTATATGATTAAGGAAAAATTTAAAGTTAAAAAGGAAATTATTAAATGAAACAAAATTTTCAAGCATTTTAGTTCATAAAATGTCAGTTGAGTTGATGTGACATCTGTGACTCGTATTACGAGACATATATGGGCTATGGGTGTTACACGAATTACCTCTGTTCAGTTCAATTCGACTTCGTACGTTCGATTCGAGATACATTTATTTGTTCTGCTGGACCTAGTACTACTGATTGTGGGAAGCGTAGGGCTTAGTTGGTATAAGTGTGTTCCTTGACTTATACTATATGTTTAATTTTTATATTGTGCTCCATTTTTCTTATATATATATATATATATATATTGTGTAAGTATATTTGGATGTTGAATATTGTTGTATGATATATGATTTGTTGGCTGGTATAATTTTTGTATTGAGACTGTCTACAGAGGTCTTAGGATCCTCTTCGGAGGGAAACATCCCATCATGTTTTCTGATTTTTATTGAGTTTTGATTTGGAGGTTAACTCAGGATCCTCTTCGGAGGGTAACATCCCTATCATGTTTTTTTAGGTTCCTCTTCGGAGAATAATATCCCCATCCCGATTTCTATTTTTTCAATGTCTATCTTCAAAGGTTTCGATTTCCTCTTTGAAAGGTAACGTTACCATCCAGTACGAAAGGTAAGTTTGTGAACTTCTGTTGCAACGTTCTGATGGTAAAATATTTGAATTTTATTATTGTTTTATTATATTATTGTTTATTACATCATGCTTAAATTATCTAAGTTTTAATATTGTTATCTGATTATATGTAGAGGACACAGTGAGCTTTGTAGCTCACTCTGTTTCTATCATTCATTTTAGATTATCAATAGGTAGGGCCTATTTGGCTATCAGGGTGTGGTCTTGATTTCATATTGTATGAGATTAAATATTTACTTTCAACCTCATTTAACTGTGACATGAGTTTACTTCCGACATTATTTTTGGTAAATCTTTTCAAAAACGATTAATTAAACAAATTTCGTTCATAGACTTTCTGCGATCAATGTGATTAACATGATTCAGTTGTAACTCCTAGGCTAGGTCTAAGGGGTTATATATATAATTAAAATGTGGTCACTAAGGGTTATTGTCGTCAGAATTTTAACGGATTGCTAACTAGGTGTAATGAATTTATAAAAATAAAATGGATAAACTGCACAAATGGTCACTAATGTTTGAGTAAGTTTTCATTTTTCCTATTAAATTTTCAAAAGCAACAAATTAGTCACTAAAACATCAAATAAGTCATTAAACAATGATTTTATATCTAGTTTATTCCAAAAACTTTCAATATTTTTGTTTATCAATCAATTCATGTCCAAAAAAGTTAACTTATAAGTTTTATTTTTAAAATTTAAAAAAGTATATACAAACAAATTAGGAAAAATTGAAAGAAAAAAATAGAAAGCTTTTGGGATAAATTAGATATAAAATCATTGTTCAAGGATCTATTTGATGTTTTAGAGACCAATTTGTTATTTTTAAAACTTTAATTGGGAAAAGGAAAACTTATTCAAACATTTGTGACAATTTGTGTAGTTTATCCATTTTATTTTTATAAATTCATCGTGTCACGTCAGCAATCTATTAAAGTTCTACGATAATTAACTCTGAGTGATCACATCTTAATTAAATAAAAGCGAAAGTAACCAGATATTATATTTTTAGAATTCAGTGAAGAAAAATGTATAAAACTTAAACGAAAATTATCAATCTTATAGTTTATGCTAAAAAAATAAACAAAAGAGGAAAAAAAAAGGGAAATCTAACAAATTGCTCCCCCGTATGGGCTCTAGAACTAACAAAGCCCAACTCCTTATAAATATGAAATGGCTGTAATCCTTGACTTAGTCCTTGGGAAATTAGGATCCGGTTCTTCAGTTACATCCCTGTTATCAGGGTCAATCTCCATGGCCGTATTCCGTTCTTTCTTCTTCCCACCTCCTTCAATCCTTTCTGTTGTTTTCATTTCCCAACAATCTTTCTCCTTTACGAATGAGACCATTTCAACCTCATTGTAAAAAAAAGAAAAGAAAATAAGTTTGCGTGTGAATCAGATGAACCCAAAGCATATTCTGATTGAATGTTCATAACTGCATTTTCTCCTTTCTTTATCGTCTTCACAGCTTTATCGAGGCGGCCATCGATTAATTGTTCTTCGTCAATGTCGAACTAATACGATTCCCATTCGATAGCTTTCCGATAAATTTCATTACCTTTATCAATGACACATGTAATATAATTGATTACTTAATTTTGTGTCGTACTTATAATAGCATTATACATTAAATATACATGTTTATTATACATTAAATGTACATGTTTATAATTGTGGATTTTAAGCCAACACTCTAGGTAGAATTAACCATCTCCGACCGTGAACTCCACGCCCCTGGAATCAAATCTTTTCCGTTCTCTTTTTTTGTGTTTTCTCATCAACTAATCTTGCAAAAAGCTCCATGGAAGACGACCTCGAGTCCCCAAAAGCCAACAACATGGAAGAAGAACAAGAGATTGGGGAAAATGGGTTGAAGAAGAAGGTGGTTAAGGAAGGTGAAGGGTCGGAGACACCGAACGATGGGGACGAAGTCGAAGTGCACTACACAGGAACTTTACTCGATGGAACCAAATTCGATTCGAGCCTGAGAATGGAACTCCATTGAAGTTCAAACTTGGCCGAGGACAAGTGATCAAAGGTTGGGACGAAGGTATCAAAACGATGAAGAAAGGTGAAAATGCAGTATTCACTATACCTCCCGAATTGGGATACGGTGAGTCGGGGTTTCCTCCATCGATTCCTCCTGATGCAACTCTTCAGTTCGACGTTGAGTTGCTTTCTTGTACGGCCGCCGGATCGGAATCTGCTCCAGTCTGCTGCACAATTCTCTGATGAGACAAAATCACTCTTGTTCAATCAAAACAAACTGCTACTTTTCTACCATTGTTTTGTATATAGTTTTTTTCAAGGGAAGAGTACGGGTTGATCAATTGAAATTTGGAAGTGCACGTCACATTAATTGTGATGAGATGACGAGTCTTTGTAATTATACTTCAAAAGTCTGTCTAGATTGGTTTTTATTAATTTATTTGTTTAAGTCGATTTTAAAATTTTTTAATGTTGTATTTGGTATAATAATTGAGAATATACTATTAAAACAAACAAGGTAAAAGAAAATTAAAACCCAAGATTTACGTGAAAAACTTTAAAATTTTCACTTAAAGGAGTACGGATATATTAGATGAATTCACTATAATGTCAAGAGTGTTGCGTCTCACTCAAGACTTGATGAATAAATCTAATTGTTATTATTTATAAATTTATAAGGTTAGAAAACTCATATTGTACGTGTCTTATTCGATATGAATTTTTATTCCTAATCAAATACTAATATTGACATATAATTTTGTACGGACCGAATGTACGATAAGATTCATACCATTGAGGTTCCACCCTTATAGCCCTGTCAGTTTGATTTGGGGGGTTCCGCATCCATTTTCCTCTCAATTTTATTTATTCGTTAAATAGATCACATTACAGATTTTTAAACCAAAATAAAATTTACATCACAAACTCTAACCGTAACTATTCGTGTTAATATACAATCTTATCACTACATTAACTTTTAAGATGGTTTGAAGGAAATGTTAGCGATATATCCTAATTTCACAATAATCGAACAATGACGATAGTACATCAAAGTAATTATCCTTTAGGTTTTAGGGTTAAAGTTTCATAAATTTTGAAGAGATTTTGAAAAAATTTAAAAAATAGGGTGGAAGAAAATGATGCGACGAAGATGTTAAAGAACAACTACGTAAAACGGGAATGATACTTTAAGAATTTAAAATTGTTGGGAAAATGATGAGTGGGAAAAATTAAAAAACAAAGAGAATAAAATGAAGCGACAGACGTTTCTAAGGATGTTTAAAAATAATGATTAAAATTAAATAAAACATTTCAAAGACAAATTCTATTTCATCGATTAATTCGGATCAAATATTGTATAAATTTATTATGGAAATGGCTCTCTCAACCAAATTCACTCCATTCATAACATCAGAATTCAAATCAAACCCCTAACATTGTTTAAAAGATTTTATGTCTCATTCTACTCAACAAACTCTATTTTCCATAATAATAAAAACTTTTTAAACATCTAAGACACAGGTATAAACGATAGGAATATTATCTTCCAAATAATTTGTAAAAAATAAAATATATATATTAAACATATATATTTATGTCCGACACTCATTTTCAAGTTGAAATAATATACATTATAAAAATTACCAGCTCTACCATAAGATGGTTTAAAGCAGCATATATTTTTACAGTTTGGGTAGGGTTACAATCATCTATAAGTGAGCATCAAGTCATCAATTAGCAACTGTCTAAGTATCAAATATACATAATAATTATAATATCAACTACAAAACTAGCTCAGGACATTTATCAAAAAAAAAAAAAAAAAACAGGGGGATGATCGTGGCCATCAAAGCAGATACTTACAGATTATCTCCGGAAGTGAATATTCACCGCTGACGGCGGCAAGAACAGAGATGGCTGGATGAAGGAGAGAGCCAAAGGCAAAAAAGGATGGAACAAGAAATGTGAATACCTTTTGCTCCGACCATCCGCGCTACCGAATTCTGGGCCTAAACCGGAAAGGGTTAAACCGTTAGTATTTTTCATACTATGCACCTACGGTTTTTAATTATCATAGACAGAACGACCAATTATCATTGTGTAAATGGAAAGCGAAATTTGATTAAGCCGTAGATGAACAAAATAACCCGAGTTTAAATAACTGGATAACACAAGGAAAAAGTACTACCTGTCTTGATCTTAAATTTGTGACTGTTTGGTTGCCTCCGAGAAGTGAACCTGATGGGATGATCCGTTGACTGTCTGGGCCGGTCAGTTGCAGAGATTAGCTGCAAGGACATGCCAGAAAATGGTTAGGCATTGATAAACTGGATTTCAAGGGGAAACTATGGCCTTAAATGTCTGACATAAAAGAACCTCGACATAAAAATTAGGTAGAAAGCATGGGAATATATTAGCAGCCTGTGAATCACACCTTCTCATCGAAGCGGAAGAGAGACTGATCGAAGTAGGGAGAAGGACTCATTGATTGACAATTTAAAGGCAACGAGGATAGCATCTTCTTTACAAACTGCAGAAGAGATCAGGCACTTAGACATACAAAAAACCAAAGACTGAAGACTTAAGATACCAGGCCGGAAATGATCTACGGCAACAACATTGTGCCTAGCAGAAGCTTAATGAGGAAAACTATCAGAAGAGAATTCCAGAGAAGATACAAGAAAACCATAAAATAGTAGACTAGCAACAACTTCAGATTAAGAAATTCACACCTGTGAGGCACTGGTGGCTTTATTCTTCATGCACATTAGTTGTTCCAGAGCGTGAATATTATTTGAGTGAGAAGATATGAAATTCATATACATCGAATTTGTTGATGTTGCATGGAAATGGTCAAAGAAACGTTCAAAGAGAAGGTAAAGCTCGTCTGCTGCATTCTGAATGAAGTAATAGAGCATGTGATTGTTCGAGAATTCAACAAACAAGAAAAAACCAAACAAAATCATGATGATATAATACCTGATAGAATGCAACAATTTCAGTTGTCTCCATATTATATACAGCAAAGAATGCAGGAACTTGATCAGTGTTTCGTGATCCCTGGAATTTTCAAGTCAACAAATCATATTATATTTCAATCAAATATTTATATATAAAGCAACCAGTTTTCCAATTCAAAAAGAGTTATTGAGGGTTTTATGTTAAAGAAATATGAATTTTGAAAGTCTTTCATCAAGCAACTACAATATATTTCCTCAAATATTTCAGGCCTACTTTTACTATGGGTAAGGTCTATGTTGTTCTGACTCTTCATTTCTATAGAGGTATATGTGTTTGACACCCATATACAACACATAACTATACAAGGGTATGGAGATATATTCCTCCAAAAACTTCAAATACATGATGATCTTGGGGGAAAATGAATATATCAACGTACACGGTGTCAAATACATACCCATTTCTGACACTCACAACCAAGTCCGAGTAACAAAGGTACAACCAAAAGCAAGAAAACCTTACCCCCACATCAACACTGCCAAACTTGATAAGCAGATGATGCCGGTCCAAGAATTGCACCTGTCCAAGAGTTTTGCATATTTTTTTACATTACTGTCCACTAGTGTAATAAGATTTTGATCATCTTATATGGAAGAACTAAACAGAACAGACAAGTTAATTTCATTTGACTCGTAGAAAACAGCAGAACAAGTGTGTAGAATATAAGAAATTAAAATTCTACCTTCAAGATCACCAAATCAACATAGTCCTGGAAATGGAAATAGAACTTCTTCTTCAGGCATTGGACCCTCTAATATAGAAAACAAACACTACAATTAAAACTCTGAAATTAGAAAAGATAAAACTATATCTCAAACTTTTAATAAAGCCCATTTGAGCTACTGATAATATACAGCAACGTGAAAACAAAAGTAATTTCAAAAGAATTTAATTAAACATGAGGAAAACGAAATAAAAATTACTTTGGGAGTGCAGAAAGCCGACTAACTAACCCGGGTTTGATCTGTTTCTTCACTCCATATTTCTCGGAATATGAATGAAAGCAAGCGTTGTTTGATACCACTCAAAAAAGAATTGTTTGAATTAGGCTGGTCTTGATTTATACCATTATCTGCAAAGTCTCCACGATTTCCTGATAACTGATGCAAGTTAACTTTTGTCAGAAGTTGTGAAGTTTTATCATCATTGTCAGATTGTTAGTTCAGACACCCCTCATTGAAACTTGATGAAAAAATTGTTAGGCTCTCAGGTTTAACTAAAATGGTGAACACTATGGGCAGAGTCCAGAGACACAAAATGATGCGAGAGCCATTTGTCTCCAGAACAATTATAAACACGAAAGTAACCCCACATTGAAGAGTTCTACAGCCTAATAGGAAGTGCATGAGTTGAAAAACCCAATATCTTAAATTTACTAGTAAGAAAGTAATAACAGTTAAAGTGGAATCACCGATGCCTAAGTTAATTCCTAAGATACTTGAAGTGGAAAACTCAAATATAGAACATAAAAGCAAAAGCATCTTGCCTGAGAACTAGAATTTATAAAAAGCTCATCATCTTCCCGACAATATGCACCAATAGCTCTCACATCAACAAGGTTCCCAGAATCCCTGATTTGAAGAATGTGTATTGTTTGGTAACGAAGCGACACCACCGCAAGCAGATCATCATACAAGAAGGCACCCATATTATGGGTAAAATTGACACAATCGTTGTGAAATACCTTTTCATCTAGTATAACCCCATCTTGCAACCTGATTGCATTACAAAACAAAATTAAGAACAAAACCTCATAGCATTAAAAAATGCAGTGTTCATCATACTTCTTAAATTGTCATTTATAGAAAGAATTCTATAACTAATGCCAGTGTTCATCTTGATTTGGCAAAGAACAGTGCAGTGGAAAAACCTCAATAGGTGAATAGTGATTTTTTCAAACGATGGGACCCCAAGGATTGCTCCATCCGAGGCACGAGCATCTTGAATTTGAGCAGTGGAAGTGGCGAAAATTCCAAATTGATTACTCTCCATGTAGATAAAGAAGTCTTTACATATAAGCTCGTTGCAGGAAGCAAGTGATCGAACATATAACTGCGTGAAGAAACTCTCAAACTTCTTAGCTTGGGGAGGGAGTTCATGGGTATTATCACAATCCTCTTCTTTGCAAGAGTACGAAAGCCACGTCGGTCTATAAACAATCAAATCCTGACGGTTCCTACTGAAACTCACAAAGTACTGCCCATCATCCGTGAACTTAAAAAACGAATTGTCGGGGCATTCCAAATCGTATATCGTGAAACCAGGAACTAAATTCTCGTAAAATCTTCTAGCGCAATGAATCTGTTGTAATTGAGACAAATCATCAAACAACTGGTGGGTAATAAAAATTGAAAAAACGTAGAACAAACACAATAGGTCGGGTAATGTTTATACACTGGTTCCTGGTGCAGGGGTGCGAATTTGGCGCTCGAAAATACGGGAAGCGACATTGTTGGTTTTAAACGTCACCTTCGAATCAAAATTCTTTTTCTTTTGGATCATCGAATCAAAATTCTTAGACAAAAACAAAAGATTTTTTTTGGGAAATTTTTTATGTTTTCTAGTTTAGATTGGTTTGGTTCTTATCGAGAAAATATGGTAGAGTAAAATAAATATATAAAAGATGGAATAAATTGGTGGCAAATGGGCGTTGAGGGGAGCAATGGGGGAGAAGGCGTCGACGTGGGCTGGAAGTGTTGAGAGGCTGAGATAGCGTTGAGTGGGGCAGTGTGGGACAACACAGTCATTTCCAGATGCAGATTTTGGGTTTTTTAAAAAGCTACAACAATACAACGGATTAGATATTTGTATTACGTATAAAGTCCTCTGAATTTGTCAATTTTAATGGATAAACTACAGATTTAATACCCTAACTATTACTTTTGTTTCATTTTGGTCATTCAACTATTTCTTTTTTCAAAAGCATACCTAACGTTATATTTTAATTTTATTTTGATCATTTACCGTTAGAAAATTAATAGAACTGGTGACGTGATATTTCTTTCAATGATGATGTGATATTACTTTATAGTAATATGTCAGCATCACTATTAATTTTTTAACAGTTGGCGACCAAAATAAAATCAAAATTAAATATTAGATATGATTTTTAAAAAAATAGTTGAATGATCAAAACAAAATAAAAGTGATAGTTGATGTACGAAATGTGTAATTTACACTTTTTAATTTAATATTTAATCTCTTTTAATTATGTCAATTGATATTTTGACGATGTGGTACAATATCAAAATAATATAATATTGTTGAAATAATTAAAAACAATAGTGTAGATGAATTCTTTTATTGTTAGTTGAAAAATTGAATTTATGAAATTCAAATCGTATCAAATTAAATTTATTTATTTAAATTTGTATTTGTTGATTGATTTTAATTTAAAAAAATCTTTAATTATTATATATATATATATATATATTCGTATATTATTTTTTCACATTATTGAATAAATCAAACACTATTTAGAATTATATAAATATATATTAGTTCAAGAGTATCTTTTAAGGGTAAACTATTGATGAGAGTATAAAAAATTTAAAAAATTAATAAAAAAAAAGAATCTGAAAAGTGTTACAGTATGAGGATTAAATTGAATCAAACATAAAGTTATCATAACTTTTTTATATTTTTATTAGAATTTAAGTAAATTTATTCCGTATATCGGACAATACTTATTACAAGCAGTTTTCAAGAGTGATATCAAATTAATCCTTTTATGTTGCGAGTTCTCAAACTAGTCCCCAATAGCGTCACCATTTAAGCAATTGGCTTCAATACATAAAATTTGCATGAATGAGAGCCCAAAGTTGCTGTCAAATTCCCCACAAAGTGTGTCCTCAGTGTTTTGTGCTGCAATAGATCCATTTATATTAAAAGGTGTATCGCAAGCTACGTTACTCGAACCGGAGACCGGAGAGTGAATCTTTTAAAATACTCATGTCCGGCACGCATTCGGACATGATATTTGTACAAGCCACTCAGACTCCGAATCCAGGTAACGTAGATCATCGGAAAGAGTTAAAGTCATGCCTGCAATGGAGAATGACAATACTGGATATGGATAAAGCTTGTGGACACAATTGAGTACCTCCCAAAGGTCTCTGGCTTCGACCTCTGTCTTGGGGTCGAGACCAATGTCGCCCCAGCGAGCTGTTGTAGAGTAACGAACCGGACCCCTGTTGAGTAGGACCACAGAAATTCTATAATCTGAAAGACGAGCTGCCCATATCTGTTAGAAGGAAGAGAGAAATTAGTTGAGAGTGACGAATCCGAGCAGAGATCAGTGAACCAAAAAGTGCAATGACCAGGTTACGGATATCTTCCCGGCTTCACCGTTCGCATCAGGTTTTGGTCGTCGACTCCAGATATGCTTACATTGATGATATTGTCCCTAAAGATCTTATTCCTTAGGGGGAGGTCCAAGGGAGGCACATTTTCATGTGACAAAGGGGTTTGCAGATGCACAAACAAGACAATACTTTCAATGCAAGTGTACACAGGGTGACGATAAAATCTGAATATGTTCGACGATGCGAGGCCATACGGATCTATTGCAGGCCATAATAAAAATGGAGCTGTATGAATTTTACCTCTTGATCACCTTCCATCCTAACCTTCTTAGCTTGAAAACCATATGGATCTATTTCAGGCCATAACATGAAGTAAAAAAAGAGGTCACTACCGATGAACGAACGAATGAAGGATGCAACGTAACGGAAAATGTCGAAAGACACATGTAATTTACCTTGGTTAACGGCAATGACTTCCTTATTCGTGATGATTTTCATAGTTTTTTCTGTCATATTTCTTAAATTGCAACCGAGAAGAAGAGGAGCCTGTGATAACATTTACGTTTCGACCAGAAGCAACATGTTTATCATATGGCATTGAAAAAGAAGATTTCGTATGCAACTTGTTTATCATATGGCATTGAAAAAGAAGATTTCATATGCAACATACCTTGGAAATAGCCCACAGGCTGAAATGTACTATGTATTCATCTTCCGTCATCCCTCCGTTCCCCACCTCAAGCATGTCCAGATCTACCGAAATCAATGGCGTATTATTAAGTTCCTCAGGCATTGTACTTATGAATGATGTCTATATCGGTTAAAAAGATCGACACCAGTTTCTAACCGTTCCAACCTCCAGGCCTTGCATATTCAGCATAAACTTCATTCTGGTCAGCTCGGGAGATCATACTGCCAGGCATCCAAAATCACAAGTTACGACTCTACTGCTCTAGGCCGAGGCTATGAAACCGGAAACGAAAAAGAACTATCTTTTACCTTTCCCAATTATCAGCAATGTCATTAGTTGTCCTCCAGCTATTTCCTACAGGAGCTCCCCATTCAGCAGGGTGCATATCTCCCCTGAGAAACAACAACGAAACACAAGTCGAACCGAGAAAAACCGGCAAATACTTGAATAAAGGCTTAAGTTGCAGTGCTTCATAAAGTACCATTCACATAGAGAGAAAAAGATCGGGCGGCCAGCCTTCATCAAAGCACGAGTCATGACGGGGTATCTACATCAAGTACAGCAGTGACATATCAGAAGATTGCTCGATGTTTTAAAAACCGGTTTGTTGCCATAGATATAAGTACACTACCTAACCGTTGGCTTCGAGCCATCGGTATTGCAGTTATCATACTTCAAATAATCTATTCCCTGCAAATGAAACAATACATACATACATTAAGACTAGCAGATGGGAAATGAACAAATGAAATCCATACCCATGAAGCAAAGGTTTTTGCATCCCGTTCTTCATGATCAAGTGAACCGGGCATTTTCTTACTACAAGTAAAATATCTGAAAAACAAAACTATAGTATATCCATAACCATTAGCTTTGTTATAGCAACTACAAGATTCATAGAAATCCGACATCGACATGCAGCACTGGTAGAGTTACATTACCCTGCATCGGAGTAGATCCCAAGCTTAAGACCCTTTCTGTGAACATAATCCGCCAGAACTTTGATTCCATATGGAAAAATAGACTTCTTAGGCACCAGATTACCCTGAAATTCGATTCGATTCCTATCGTTATAGCCATATCAACTATTTCACGCTACAAAATCAAACTTGGTAGCATGAGTTATGAAGAAATGTAAAAGCAAATTACCTTGTCATCTCGAGAAATTTCGGCCCAGCAATCATCTAAGGAAGCAGATTTCGAAATGGTTGATCAGTAATTTTGAATCAATGATGCCAATAAAGGCTGCTACTGTAGATTAGAACAATAAATACATACACACATACATATATGCATAGCAACATACCTATATTAACATATTCATATCCAATCTTGGAAAGTCCGGTTGAAACGACAGCATCGGCTGTTGAAAGAAATCAATGTTACTGTTGAGTGAAGTTAGTTAAATGTTGTTGTATAGTTAGTAGTTAGTTAGAGGTTAGTTAGAAGCAGTTACCTTAGTGTAAAACTATATATGTATGTAATTTGTGTACATTGAATAATAAGATTGTATCAGAAGCTTTCTTAACATGGTATCAGCCTAATTTCGGTCTTTTCGTCTTTTTTTTCTTTCGTTTTGTGTCACTCTCTTTTGTTTTCCTTTCATTCTGCTCCTTTTCGCCTAATTACATCACTTTCCCCAATTTCTTGTTTTCCCTTCTCAACGATGCCTTCTGGTGAGGAAATTGATTTCACTCACCTGTTATAACTGCATCCATCTGACATGCCTGGGCTTCTGCTCGTCTCTCAGCCACTAGTTGGCTTAGAAAATTACAACATCTGGAGCCGTTAAATGAAGATTGCGTTGCTTGCTAAAAACAAGATAGGGTTCATCGACGGCTCTTGTCAACGAAGCGATTACAGTGATGCTTTGTAGGTGCAATGGGATAGGTGTAATGATGTCGTTTTATCTTGGATCCTGAACGCCGTCAGCAAAGATTTATCAGTTGGGCTGGTGTTTGCCTCCAGCGCTGCTTCTGTTTGGAACGATTTGCAGGAGTGGTTCGATAAGGTTGATGGGTCTCTTATATTTTTTTTTTGCATCGAGAGATTGCTACACTTTGTCAGGTTAATCTACAGTTTCTGTTTTCTTCACTCGGTTGAAAATGTTATGGGATGAGTACGAGTCCTTGATCCTTTTTACTGCCTGCGATTTTGAAGCTTCCCAGCCGAATATGAAACATCTTGTTCAGCAGAAACTGTTTCAATTCTTGATGGGATTAAATGACTCTTACTCAGCAATTAGAAGTCAGATTTTGCTCATGCAGCCTTTGTCAACAGTGAATCAAGCCTATCTATGTTGATTTAAGAAAAATCGCAGCGATCTCATCTCTCTGTAATTGCTGCACCTGATTCGATGGCCTTGTTCTCTAGTGCTATCGTCTAATTGGATTTCCTTCAAATTACAAAATTACTAAAAAGAAAGTAGTTTCAAATGCTGTGGCAAATTCAAGTGTTTCTGCTGATTCGATGGCTACCTCCACTCGATCCAATTTTGTTCATTTTGTTCCAGTGTTCACTAGAGAACAATATGATCAAATTTTGCAGTTACTGAACAAGCCACCCTCTGCAGAATTTGTTGTTAACCTTGCAGGTATACTTGATAACAGTTCTTTTCATTCTAATGTTTCACTTAAATGGATTGTTGACATAAGAGCTACATACCATATTATATTTTATTTTAAGAGCTTGGATTCTCTCATTCCTTGTGATTCTTCCACAGTTTCATACATCTTCCTGATGGTAAAAGTGTTCATATTACTCACCTTGGTTCCTGTTCTCTTACTTCAGATTTAAGACTTGAAAATGTCCTCTTTGTTCCACAGTTCAAACATAATTTACTTTCAGTATCTAGACTTACTCATGACATTGGCTGCTTCCTCACCTTTTATCCTGATTTTTGCCTCCTACAGGATCTTTGTACTGGAATGATGAAGGGGATTGGTAGGGAGTCTAGAGGATTATATTTTTTTTGAGGCTACTTCTTTTGATTCTGGTTTGTCTGTTCTTCAATCTCTTGCTTTAAATCAATTTTCCTTTACTGCTCCTTGTATGGCTTCTGCCAAAAATGATACTTGTATTTGGCATGCTAGATTAGGGCATGCTGCTTTGTCAAAAATGAATAAAATAGATTGTTTGCAATCTGTTAAGTTTTAACATGATTTGGTTCACAAATGTTCTGTTTGTCCTTTAGATAAACAAACTAGGTTACCTTTCCCTGTGAGTACTTCTAGGTAAGTTATTCCATTTCAGCTTATTCACATTGACTTATGGAGTGCATATAGAGTTTCTACACACAGTGGTCATATGTTTTTTCTAACTATTGTTGATGATCATACTAGAATAACTTGGCTATATCTGTTGAAGCATAAGAATGATGCTCTTTCCTCTCTAAAATAGTTCATTTCCTTAGCTCAAACTCAATTTCCTGTCTCAGTTAAAATAATTAGGAGTGACAATGGCTTTGAATTCTTTAATTCAGAGTGTTCCCCTTTCTTTGCTTCTCTTGGACTTGTTCATCAAAGCTCTTGTGTGGGCACTCCTCAGTGGAATGGGGTTGCAGAGAGGAAGCATAGGCATATTTTAGAGGTTTCCCGAGCCTTACTTTTTCAGTCTAATGTCCCTCTTAAATTATGGGGTGAGTGTGTACTTACTGCCTGTTACATCATTAATAGGCTCCATTCTTCTGTGATTAAATGGAAAACACCATTTGAGCTTCTTTATCACAAACCACCAAAAATATCTCATCTTAAAGTGTTTGGTTGTTTATGTTATGCAACTACGGCAAACTATAGTGATAAGTTCTCATACAAAGTCATTCCCGTTGTGTTCTTTGGTTATTTTGCTACTCAAAAAGGTTACATTCTCTTTAACCTTGAGTTGAAAACCTTTTTTGTCAACCGAGATGTCATCTTTCATGAAGATGTCTTTCCTTTTAAATTTGCTTCCTCTGATCATTCTTTTTCCCCTTCATCCTGACATCCCTGATTTTGATTTTTTGCAACTCTCATTTCCTTCATCACACAGTTCAATTCCTTCCTCAGATTTTGTTTTGCCTTCAGTCTCTTTAGAAGTTTCTACTAATCCTTCATCCACTAGTTCAACAGATCTTTCTACTGCTTCAACAGATGTAGTTCAACCCATTATTCCTCAAGCTTCTGTTCCTAGTTCTGTGTCTACTAGAGTATCTTCTAGAGTTTCTAAACCTCCATCTTGGTTGAGTGATTATGTTAATACCTGCCAATCCACTTCTCTTTCAGGTCGGTATCTTATATCTAACCATGTTTCTTATTCTCATTTACCAAATCATACACAATCCTTCATACTTTCTATTTCTCATTCCATTGAACCAAAAAATTTCAAGAAGCCCAAACTGATCCTCGATGGGTTAAGGCAATGAAGGAGGAAATTCATGCTATTGAATTAAATAAAACTTGGTCTCTTGTTCCTTTGCCCCCAGGAAAAGTGTGCATTGGGTGTAAATGGGTGTTTAGAGTAAAATTCAAAGTCTCAGGAGAAGTTGAGAGGTTCAAGGCAAGACTTGTGGCTAAGGGTTATAATCAGAGAGAGGGAGTTGATTTGTGGATACCTTCTCTCCTGTTGCTAAACTTACAACTGTTTGCTTTGTTATTGCTCTAGCTACTATCTTTTATTGGACTTTATGGCAGATAGATGTTCATAATGCTTTTTTACAAGTAGACTTACATGAAGAAGTATATATGGAATTGCCTCAAGGGTTTTGTAGTTAAGGGAGAATGTGGTATATGGACTACAAAGGTCTCTTTATGGTTTAAAGCAAGCATCAAGACAGTGGAATGTTAAACTTACAGAAGCTTTAATTTTAGCAGGCTATGATCGGAGTAGACATGACTATTCTATGTTTACTAAGAAGCATAGGACTAACATTGTGATGCTTTTAGTCTATGTTGATGATTACTGGAAATAATATAAAGATTATTGCAGAATTAAAGGGAGTTTTGCACAAGAGCTTCAAAATGAAAGATTTGGGTGAGTTGAAGTACTTTCTTGGTTTAGAAGTTTTGAGGTCAAAGGAAAGAATACTTCTAAATCAGAGGAAATATGCTCTTGAGCTTATTCAAGATACTGGAATTGGTGGTGCAAAGCCTACTGCAACACCTTTAGAGCATAATACTAAGTTCACTACAGTGGATTATGATAATTCATTGCAGCAACATCAGAATCAAAAGGAAGGTTGTTTGGCTGATAAAGCAGAATTTAAAAGGCTTATTGGGAGGTTATTGTATTTAACACATACAAGGCCAGATATAGCCTTCTCAGTTCAACATTTGAGTCAGTTTATGCATCAACCAAAGAAAGAACACATGGAAGCATCTCTTAGAGTGGTGAGATACATTAAAATGAATGTAACAACCCATAATTTTTAACAAATATATATATTTAATTGTGTAATTGGTGAAAATTGGGGACTAAATTGAAAATTTTTAAAATTTGTAGCCTATTTTAGAGTTGAAGAAAATTCAGGGACCAAGCCCTGAATTAACCTAAAAAGTGTTGGCAGGCTTTTCTATTAAAGGAAATGAATTGGTTTCTGCATGAAAACACAAAAACCAATTCATAAAACCCCCCATACGCCCAACTTCCAAACCAAATTCCGACGTCGTTCGACCTCCGATCATCGTTTTGAAACCACCATCGTGTTCATCATCGAGCGAGGAACAAACCCCTTAAATTAATTGAAGTGAAACACTGCCAAACGCTGCCAAATGCCGTGAATTTCAAGTCAAAGTCTCGACGTTGTTTTAGCACCATCACCGAGAAAATCTTAAATTCATCGTCGATCGTTGCTCCGTTTTCGACACCTCCCGTACTGTTGAGTTAATCGATTGACGGAATCAGCCAAGAGGGGGGTGAATTGGCAATTAAAATTTTTTGGAAGCTTTTGCAGAAAATTGAAAGTAATTGCACAGCGATTTAGAGTGGTTCGACTTTATCAACCAAAGTCTACATCCACTACCTTAGCTATCCACACTAAGGATTTTCCAACAAATTCACTAATTTGTTTTTTCTTTTGAGGCCAAAGAGATAACCTTAAAACACCCTTAAGAATATACCCCAATTCTCGAGAACACTCTTTTCTCAAAGAGAAGATTACAAATTTGCAAACTTACAAGAAAAACCTCACAAGGCAAATATGTTTGCACAATTCTAGAACAAAGAAAGAACACTCAAGAATAAATACAATTGAGCACAATAAGTGTTCTTGAAATCAAAATGAATATTGAATGAAGAATAGGCTTGAAATGCGCAAACTTGAGGTTTGATGCTTTCTCTTTGATTCTCTCTTGATTCTAGTTGCTTGATGTTTCTTGTTTTTGATCAATG